AACCCAGGAATGTACCCTAGCTGGGAATCGAACCTGGGACACTTTGGTTCCCAGCCCGCACTCAATCCACTGAGCTACACCAGCCAGGGATATATTTTTTAAAAATAAAGCATACATGCCATAAACTTCCAAACAGATTCCAAACAGTCATAAAATTCAAGTAAAAGAATATTTTTTTCTGCCCAATTTTTCTTGTCAGAGCTGCATAGAAAGCCTTATTATTATTATATTTTTAACAGGTGTGCAAAGAGATGAAACCTGTTTATTTTGTTCCTACTCTTAACATTTTACCACTATCACAGGACCTGTGAACACATTTGTAACATTTAAATAATTTAAAAAATTGCATAAATTTTAGTAGTAAATATAATCTGTTTCCTTTAATAATCTATGTAGTAATACTGATGAAACTCTGGAATGGCAAATGCTTTAAGTACCTTACTAGTCAGTATTAACATAGTAGCACCCTGACATGGAACATAAGACTCAGAGCTGGGAGCTGGGATGCTGTCTCATTTGGGGCTCTTGTATCCAGCAGTCTTCACTTCAAAAACTGAAATGATGATGTTACAGTGAATGCAAAAGTAATATAGTGTACAACTGTGTACTGTATTTGTATGTAAAACATGTAGTGGTCTCTCTGGCCTGTTCAACTTATGTAAATAATGTTAATTTTAAAACTCATTTATTCACAGTAATGAAACAATACATTGATTGTCCTTAAGTTACATTAAAGGGAAAGTCTTTTTCTTTGCTTCTGAATCTATTTAGCTGTCTGAGACCTCTCTCAGATAAAGCACCCATAAAGGCAAAAGCTTGTGACTATTTTCTAGGTTTCCCCACACTGATTTCTGAACTGTTCTTGCTCAATTTCACCCCATCTTGTAGCAGGTAATAAACACAGTAATTAACAGCAAGGAGGACTCTTGTATCAAACTGCTTGATTTCTTAACCTGATTTCATAACTTAGTAGCTATGTGACTTTGGGCAAGTTACTTGATGGTTCTATGGCTCATTTTATCATCTGTAAAATAACTTAATAATAATATTTGCCCATACTATTGTTGTGAGATGGTAAACTAATGTATGTAAAGCACTTAGAAGAGTGCCTGGCACCTAACTTCTTGGTTTTCCATCCTAATCCAATTCTACCTTTTTTGCCCTGATTTCAACGGACCCCTGCACACACTTCCCTGTGCTGATGGTGGTCTTCAGCCCTCACCCCCACGTTCTCACTGTCTTCACATGATTAACTTCCTTTGCTTGTAGATCACTTTAAACAGCTGCGTTTGGGGGAAGCCTTCCCTGGCTATCCCAGGCTAGAAAAAGTGCCTCATGATTTAAGTATTCCTTGATCCCCTTGATTTTCCTTTACAGCAATCACCAGACTTCATAGCTGTGTAGTTATGTGAATATTTAATAAATAAAAATATGTGTCCTCTACTCAAACTCCTTGAATGCAGGGTACAAATCCATCTTGTTCATCATTATATCCTAATTGTTACAGTGTTTGGCCTAGAATAGGTAAGAAGTGTTTGTTAAAGAAATGAATAAGTTATGTTGAGATAATCCCTGGGGTTCAATATAAGTAAACATGATTTGCCCAAGATTATGCCACTAAAAATGAAAGAACTGTAAGTAGAAGTCAGTTTTTCTGACTCCAAGTCCTCCATTATTTCCAGGCAATAAATCTTCAATTACACAAATCATACAAAGAACTATGTAATTCCTATTGTGTAGGTTCTACAGTAAAAGTAGAAATCAGAGCCGTGGCTGGCATAGCTCAGTGGATTGAGCATGGGCTGTGAACCAAAGTGTTGCAGGTTTGATTCCCAGTCAGGGCACATGCCTGGGTTGCAGGCCACGGCCCCCAGAAACCGCACATTGATGTTTCTCTCTTTCTCTCTCTCTTTCTCCCTCCCTTCCCTCTCTAAAAATAAATATAAATAAATAAATCTTTAAAAAAAAAGAAATTAGAAAGTATAGAACTGGGCCTCCCTAAGCAACTGCTGTTTAAGATATAAAGCAGGAGTTAGGGTTGTGGCAAGGAAGAGTTAGGCAGAAAGTTCCAGGTAGAAAGAACCATTTACACGGTGGTCTAATGATGAGACAAGCTTGAGGAATAAGAACATAAAAAAGATCACTGAGAATGCAACAGGAGTAAGAGGGAGGCTGAGGTTTAATCAAAGAGGCAGGGGCAGACCTTCTGCACCAAGGAAAGAATTTTGTTTAAGGAACAGAAGAGAAAGACACTGAAGGGTTTCAGTGGGGGTGACACAATCAGCTTTGTGTGTTTTGCAAGATGATACTGGCTGCTCTGTGGGGCGGGTAATGAGCAGACTTAGTGACTGGTTGGATGTGGGGTCCAGAAAGAAAGAACTGTAAGACTGACATTCAGGTATCCAGCACAATCACCAGGGAGCACTGTAGTATTGTTTCTGGAAAAAGGCCATTAGTAGATAGATCAAGACTTTAATTTTATTAAGCGTATAATAGCTCTCAATAAAAAGCGACAATTACTGTTTTTGTGGTGATTTTTAGGTGTTGCCCCCATTCTGTGCATAGGTACTTCTGGACTTGGTGTTTGGAAAGGAAAGTCACCTAAGGGGCCTCAACATGAAAAACCCTTTCCCTTTGATCTGACTTCTAGGGCAGACTTAATATAACATGTGAGAGACACACAAATAAATAGCATTCCTATTTCTTGAATTTTCTTCTTTTCCCAAGAATCAAAAAAGTTTCAATGTGATAACATGACCATGACCAACTGGTCTATTGTGGCTAACAGGTGTCTGGGACAGCAGTGTTTATGGGGAGATAAACCTACAAAATTAATCTTAATTGGCCTGGGCTAAATAATGGATGAGCATAGGTAGATCAAAGGATTCTCCTACAAATTGGGTAAGAGGACAGATAGTAAGCAAAGAAGTCAAGAGGTGTGCTTAGCTCTTTGATCTTACAGGAAGTATTTTATTCCTTATTTTATGATCTAGATTTTATTCATATCATATGTTTGCCTCATTTAACAATCTGTTATATTTATATTTACTATTCATAATAGTAAAAAAAAAAAGGAATGCCTGTTAGACTAGTGAGTTGGCAGTACTGACTATGTAAGGCCTTTTCGTTTCCGTTCCAGTGAGCCAGAACTGCCTGCACAAGCACAGGAAACGGCTGCTCAGCCTTCACACCTCAGTGCGTGACCACTGCCTTGCTCCGTAGAGATGCCAGGAAAGCAAAGACCATGCATCAGGAGTAGCCACGTGGTGCTAAGGAGAATCCTTGTTATCATTGTCCTGATCATTGTATTAATGAAGCTCTGAAGCATATGAGGTGAATGGCAAAATGTGTTAAATACACAAAAAGGCATGTTAATTCATAGTTTTCAGCCCAGGGTTGGGAGCTTTTTCAGTACTTAATCTACATGCCAACCGGGCACTTTGAAACCCGGCATCTATAAAAGAACTAAGGAGAGAGGCATTAAGGGCAAGTCAAATCTAAGATAAGCCCCGACTGTTCTGGTCACACGATGTCCTGATTAAAATCAAAGAGCTACAGTGATTCTTGCTTGATCTCACACAATCATTAAGAAACATTAAACAAACACATATAGATCAGCATACAAAAGATTTTGAAAAAGAGAGAGATATTTTCACTTATATTGTGAATAGGTTTAACATGTATTTTATTTATATTAGAATGCTTTAGAGGTCCTTGAGGTTATTTCATTTTATTTTTTATTTTTATAAAAATTTTTTAAAAATTTATTAATTTTTACAGAGAGGGGAAGGGAGAGAGAAAGACAGGGCCAGAAACATCAGCTGCCTCTCCTACGTGCCCTGGTTGGGAACCCAACCCACAGCCCAGGCATGTGCCCTGAGTGGGGATTAAATGGGCAGCCCTTCGCTTTGGGGAATGATGTCCAACCAACTGAGCCACACCAGTCAGGGTGCTTAAAGCATTTTAATGTATTTTTACACTTATACCTTTACATCATATTTGTTAAATTAGAAAAAGTATCTCACATATATTTTCATTTTTTCAATTTACATTAGCATATACACGGAGCTTAAAAAAGCACGTCTTCTTTACTGCTGTGTGTCATTCCTAATAATGCCAAACCTGGTATAACCCAGCAAACTGTCAAGCACCCCAGTTCAGTACAACAAAATGAGCCAGTGCTGAATCATCCGAACACTTGCATCTACCCCAATTATATGAACAAACTCTTGCTTATATTAATTTCAGAGTTTTAACTTTTGATGTTTGTTGAAAATCAGACATCTTGCTTACTATCTAAAAATTCTGAAGAGAGTTTTTTCTTTACATCTTTAGTGCTTAGAGGCATGGCTTTGAAAAACTGACAGAGTATTCAAACCATATCTACCTCTCTTGCTAGTCATGTAACCATCTAATCTCTCCGTGTCTTAGCTTTCATCTTGAATCTCAGATGCTCATCTGTAAAACAGGGTAAAGGAGCACCCATCTCAAAGAGCTGCTAAGTGTTACATTACAGGACTTAGAACTGTGCCTGGTACATACCAGTGCCCCCAGAATGTTAGCTATCATATCATCATTGCCTTCTTCATTTTGATTTTTGGACACTGAGCAAAAGAGTCTACAAAATACGTACTTATTTTTTTTCTCTGTATTCTCAACCCTTAGTGTTTTTAGAAGCATCAATCTTATTTTCCCTTCTATTAGCTTGTCTTCTTTAGTCCAGTGACTCTCAAACTTTTCTTTTACATAACTGCCTTTATAACATATTCAAACATGAACTTTCACATGATATAACCTATAATTTTAGAATCCTTTGATTAAGAAACTACTATGAACCAAGGGATTAAAGAAGCCCCTGAAATTAATCCACAGCCCCTTCATGGTCTAAAGCTTATTGTTTAGGAACCATTGCTTTAATAAATAATATATTTAGTTTAAAATGTAACTCAGGCCCTTTTTTAAAAAACCCTGTGGGTCAAAGCTCTCTCAGCTTCTCTTACCTCGCCCATGACTGCTATGGGTGTTTCTCCTGTTGCCTGAGCAACACGATGTTCTACTAAGTAGAACATATACTCATCGTAGAGTAGACGAATCAGGTGGAAGGAGCCAAAGCTAGCAGCACTGCGTAAGGTTAAGTCCCGAATAACCATTGAGCTGTTTCAAGAGAAAAGACATATGCAGCTAATATTAGCGACCAGGATTTGAGTTCTATGTACTTTTCCTCTTAAAAGAAGTTAAGCTGAAGTCTGAAAGGGTGGTATAGCATACGACCTGCCATGCAGTAATTTCATTGGTTGAAAGAAGTTGTCTCAACTCTTTGAAAGGGGGAGGTAAAAGGGCTATTATAGTGGCATAGTCAAGTCTGGTGATTCTGTTAAACTCCCACATGGGTCAGAATTGAATATAAATTTTTGAAAGGTTGATAACACTACCATAAGAAAAAGGTAACTTAAAGTGAAAATTTAATTGAGGGGTAAACACCGTGTTACCACCTCTGCATGATAGTGACATTGCTGTATACTTTTGGAAAAAGTATGTATTGGTGCCATAAAAAGGTTACAAAATGTACCAAGCAACGTCCTCGATGTGACAATGTACAATGCAGGTGAGGATGTACAAGGGTCCATGCAAGTTTGGTTGGAAGACAAATTTATTGTGGTCACAGTTTCTTACTGATCTCCACTTATATTAAGGTGATGTTCCATGAGAAGTAAGTGTAATAAAACAAATGAAGAAATGCATACATTTGGAAAATGTGAAGATTGAATTTATAAAATATAATACTAAAATATGAACAATATTATTCAGAAAATGCTAACAATAAACTCAATTATATTTAAAAAGTAAATGAGCCCAAAATAAAATTTTGGCTTTGCTGACGTGAGCCAATCATTACATGTCAAACCTCTTTAATATTTCTGATTCAGAATCAGAGTAGGGTGTCTACAGGGTGTCTTGGTATGTGTGGACATGTGTGTTTTTCATTGCTTCTATTCAGTGATCTTTTCTAGAGATTTTTGCCTTAGAAAAACTAAACAGCCATTATATTCTTTTTTAATAAGATAAATACATAATTTTAAAATCTTATTTATTTATTTATTTTTAGGGAGAGGGGCAGGGAGGGAGAAAGAGAGGGAAAGAAACATTGATGTGTGAGAGATACATCAACTAGATGCCTCTTGTGTGCCCCCAACTGGAGATCTAGCCCCCAGCTTAGGCATGTGTCTTGACTGGGAACTGAACTGGCAATCTTTAAGGTCACAGGCTGGCACTCAATCTACTGAGCCACACCAGTCAGGGAGCCATTATAGTCTTAATATACAGATGATATATAATAGAATTGTACAACTGAAACCTATGTAATTTATTAATCAATGTCACCCCAATAAATTCAATATATAATTTTTAAATGACTATTTTTATTCAAAATTAAAAGAAATTCCAATTAAGATAATAATCTATTTTACTGTAAGAAACTGAAAGATCCAGTGTCCCAGAGGGTATGGCAAAAGAACTCTCATGTACTGTTTCTGAAAGTGTAACTTCATGGAATGTCTATAGAAGGAATTTGGTAATATTTGTGAAAATGTAAAATGCATGAATCCTTTGACCTAACAATTCCAATTCTAGAAAGTTATACAAATGAGCAAGGATAGTTTTAATCACAGTAGTATTTATACTTGTAAGAAACAACTGTGAAAAACTAGATGCCTATTGGTAGGATGCTGATTAAACAAATTATGGTTTGTTCATATTTAGAATTTTATGCAATAGTTTAAAGAAATGAGGTCAGCAGACATAAAGGTAGTAACATGGAAAGATGTCTGTAACATAATATTAAGTTAAAGAAAAAAATAAGAGCTCAATTAACAATAAAATCCTCCCATATAAGTTTTTCTTTTAAAACCCTACCCCTAAATAGGAATGTTTAATACTTCATTAGCGTTGGGATAGCACAATGGAGTAAAATAGTATTAGTCACTTTAAAAAGTTCAAACTCTCCTACCAGAATTTATTTGATGTATGTACAATTTTATATAAATATTATCACTGAAGTATTTTTATAAATGCATCACACCAAAAACTATGTAAATGTTCAAGAATAAAGTAAAAGGGAATATTTAAATAATTTATGAGATATACACATAATGGAATATTGTGAGGACATTAACATTATGCTTCTAAAGATATTTAGTGACAAGAAACACTCAAGATATAATATTAAATGAAAAATGTTAAGGAAAGATACAGATAATAAACTGTGGTAAACAACTGGATCCCAATTTTATATAACACTAAAAGAAAACACTTTATCAGTGGTTATTTTTAGGTAGTAAAATTATGAATGATTTAAGTTATTGTAGGCCTTTATAGTAACCCTGAAATCATGTAAATGACTAAGGAGAATATTCATACTGATTAGCTTTTTAATATTATTAAAAAATGCAAAGTCAATTTTTGTTTTCAAGATAATTCACATTCATTCATTTAATAGATATTTATTGTGTTTCTCTATGCCAGGCTCTTGTTCTGTAACAAGAGAGAAAAAAATTTGGTTTCAAAAGAGCTCACGTTCTAGTAGGAGAGACAGTCAATAAAAGCACCAGTAGATACAAAATATAAAGTTAGGTACTGATAAATTCTATGAAAAATTTTAATCAGGGTAAGAGGTTGGAAAGTGATGGGGGCAGGCATTTTAAGATCGGGATTGGGGAAAATTCTTTCTCAAGAGGTGCTATTTAAGCAGAAACTGGACTGAAGTGAAGGCCTGAGCGTGTAAATACATGAGCTTCCCTAGGGGAAGGAATCAAGAGCGACTGCAGACTTTGAGGCAGAACTGTCTGATGTGCTGTAAGAACAGCAAGGAGAGGCTAGACTTGGTTACAGCACTGTAAGCAAAGAGAAGAGGAATACAGGATGGGGTCTAGAGGTTGCTAGTAGCTCTCACTAACACCAACTTCTATTGGAAAATGGGAAAAAATCTGCTGACCTTCAGTTATAATACCTAATTATCTTTTAAAACTACTGATGAGCATACATGACGTGAAATTACTGTCACATGTTTAGAAAAGACTCAGTTGAATTATACTATTAATGCTATGTCTACTTTATTAGCTCAGTATTGGGCCCCTGCCCTACAAGCAAAGTATTAAGTGACACAATTAACAGTTTAATTGGAAACCTAGTGTCCGATTCAGACTTCTGTAAGATATGTTGCAAAATTGACTTCATTGAATTTCATGTTGCTAAGTTACTATGAATTCAACTCCTTTCCAAATCAGTTATAAATGTTAATTATTTTATAATGGATGAGGAACACCCTTGTGTATTTACCTTGTAATTCATGGTGTGGAAACTGAAACATTTGCTCTGACACAATGATACTCAATCCACCTCCTTGTGTATTTGGGGGATGTATCACACTATTCTAAGAAGAAAGGAGAAACATCACACCTGTGACCCAGATGTGAAATCTCGCTTGAACAGTGCTTACAGTTGATTCTAAAAGAGTACTACTTTTTGGAAGATTTATGCATTGTCTAGTTGTATGCAAACTAGGTTCCCTGTGCTCCCTTTCAAATCACTATCAAAGCTATAAATTTTGTTCCTTAAAAATGGATATTTGGTGACCTTCAGGGTGGCCCTAAGTAATGCTGTGTTCTGTTATGCACAAAATATACAAGCTGAGAAATGGCCCACATAACTTCCCCACTTCTGCTCAAGAAAGACGGTGAATATTTTTTCCCACCTCACTGGGAGCTAACAGTAGCCATTCAAAGCCAGGCCAGGCAAGGAGAAACCCCCATTCGGAAAACGGGTGTTTGCAGTGATACATCAACTGCTAGTTGATATCATGATTCTCTGCCAGTCCATTTCTGTATTTGTATGCATGTAAATAGACACACAGGATTTTAGATATTGTCAGATTAACCTACTTCAGAAATGAAAAGTCTGTAGAAGTGACTGCCAAATTCTTACTACAATGCCAAAACATTTAAAAAATACTCTGCAATTCTGCATTTTTGATAGTTTGTGAATGCAGTTTTTATTACTCAACATGTTCTTATGCCTTAGTAAAAAACAGTTCAGATTTTAAAGGCTCTTAAGTTTTTAAGCTATTGACTTTGCCTACCAGCAGGAGGTATGCATCTGTCTGAATATGCCTTTCCTTTTGTGGCCCTGAACTGTATGCCTTCAAGTCTTTTTGAAATGAAAATAATAACCATAATAGTGTCTAATAATAACAAGCCAATTATCCCCAACTCAGGGCTGACAAAGGGCAGGCAAGTGATGATCTAGGTTTGTATATCTGTGAGAACAAGAAATACAAGTAAGTAATTTTCTCTTTTCAATATACCTGTAACAGATCTCTGGGGAGACAAAGGCTCCAGGGGTGTATTTCTAAAATATTATCAACTAAATATAGTAAAAATAAAAACCCACAGGAAGAAGTAAGGGCAGGTCTAACATAACAGCATACTGAAACAATAAGAATGGGGAAAATCCCTTGCTTTTTCTGACATAGAGGATGCACTCTGCTTCTGGCCATTTAGGTTTTAGAACAACTGGCTAGTATAACTTCTGTTTCATCCATCATTCATAAGCACATATACCATCTATATAATTTTCTGGAAAAAAGGTGGATGAACAAAAAATCAATTTGCAAGCAAATGGGAAAAATAAATGAAATCTTCTTAAGAAATATTCACAAATTAAATGTTTGACTTCTACTATTACCATTACTTTGAGAACACTGTGACAATGTCTTTTAAATCTTCCCCATGTATCCATGGGAAACATACTTCTCATTAACACCCAGATTTAAACCTAGCATTGGTTTTACTGAAGCATACTAGCGGGTCACAGGGTCAGATAGCATCTTAATAAGGTGCTTCTCAAATCGCGTGGGCTACAGGTGTTAAATACGTATATGTGAGACAGAACTGCGGCATGATTTCATTTCAAAAACAACAACAAAAAAAACAACACAAAGCTGTCAGGCTTTCTTTTATTGAACTTAAACCTGTACTAAACACTAGAAAACTATTTTCAGGATGTAAGGATAATTTAACTCTTAATTAAACATATATAGTAGATTTGCAGCTCTACTTTAGTTTAAGAAATAAGAATTGGACCATGTCAGTTAAGGAAAAGAAGTCACAATGAAAACCAAAGCAACTACCACCCTAATTGAAAGCTCTCTGGGTCCAAGTAATCTGAAGGCCTATTTCTTTCAGGGTTCTTTTATGTACACAAAAACTTCTGTCTATATTATTTTAGTCAAAAAATGATTCATTTCATACTGTCTATTAGATTACTGGATATTAAACTAGCTATGCATTCAAATCAGCCCAAATAAGTTTTTGAAGAAAATTTCTGATTTATTCCTAATCATTGCTCCCTAACCATCAAGATTTTGATCCAGCAAGCTTTGAGAGATACCTAGGATTTTTTTTTTTTACACTAATTCTGATGTACAGCTAGGTTTCCAACAGCTGTAATTGATTGGATTAAGAAATTAACTAGAATCACCTGGACAACATTTGAAAACGCACACATCGTGGGGCCTCACCTCTGCTGCTTCTGATTTAAGCAGATTTGGTGGAGGGACCTGAGAATTTGTATTTCTAACATGTTTCTGAGTGACAGTGATGCTACTGGTCTCCGAGAATCACTGAATCAGAGAATAAAAAAAAGAGTGGTGCTAAGTCCTCAAGAAAGAAGCCTAAGTAATGCATGTTTGCCAGCGGCAGGACTATAGCCCTTTTTGGACTGTTGCTGAACGTGTTATCTAGACTGGAATCTTAGGTGTTCCCATTGGAGAACTCTCCTGCTTTGAGCAAAAGGCCTTCTTTTCCTAGCAGAAGGCTGATTTTCATGTTTCTTGGTACAAATCCATAATGCTGGAATCAGTGAGTTCAGGTGAAGATACTCACAGCAGGAAGTTTCTGCAAATTGAAGTCTTCACTCACTTATTTTCTTTTGTCTGAGAAGCATGTATATATATATATACATATTTGAAAATGATGAAAATAAAGCATCGTAAAAATTGAGATCATACCTGTAGAAAGACCATTTTAGCAGAAATTGCCTGGCAGCTTTAGGAAAACTAGGTCTTCCTTCATAGGGCTTCAGGGCTTGCATCATCACATTGTCAAGCCACGCAGCCCATTGCTCCAAGGTGCTTTGCTGCTGGAGAGTCATCTTGAAGTCTGTTTCTAGTCTCTGAACCATGTTGTCATCACACTGGCACACCCAGGAAGCCTGCTCCTGGGACGACAGTACACAGAAAGCAAAGGAAAAGTTCGACTCAGCATCTTTTCATTGAATGTCAGCAATCGAACCTTATGCATGAATGGGAAATTATAATGAAAGCTTCAAACAACTTAAATGAATTAAGAAAATGAACAACTAATTAGTTTTTAAGGAAAATACCATTGCCTTGTACATGCAAAAGTGATGTGACATAAGAGCGAGGCTTGGTTTTTCTATTGGGTTGGGCAAAAAGTTCATTGAGTTTTTTCCATATGATTGTACTAGTAGTGCTTAGTTATCTTTAATGTGATTTGAAACAATTTTGCTGGATTGTATTGTGACAACTGTCATATCAGCTTGTATTTTAAAAAAAACATCAAAATTGATGAATTTTTGTGCAGCCAGCCATTTTAATATTGGAAGATGGAAGAAAATGATCAAGACTGTTGGCATATTATGCTTTATTATTTTAAGAAAGGCAAAAATGCAACTGAAATATAATAAAAGATTTGTGCCTGGTTCTGTTTTGCTCATTGGTTCAAGGAACAGACTGACAGCTACCAGAGGAAAGAGGGGGAGGGATGGTGGAAAGAAGGGGAAGGGATTAGTCAAAGAATATGTACGAATGACCCATGGACATGGACAATGGTGTGAGGACGGACTGTGGGAGCCGGGGGTGGGTTGGACGGAGGGGGAGACAAAGGGGGAAAAATATGGACAACTGTAATAAACAGGAATAAAAAGGAAAAAAAGATTTGTGCAGTGTATAAAAAAGGTGCTGTGAACGATCAAATGTGTTAAAAGTGGTTTGTAAAGTTTCTTGTACTACTGACATTTTGGCCAAATAATTCTTCACTGTGGGGCTGTCTTATGCATTGGGAGATGTTTAGCAGCACCTTTGGTCCCTACCCACTAGAAGCCAATAGTGAGAGAAAGCCAACATATTCAAAATATCCAAACCAATAAAGTTATTGGTGAAAATGAAAAACGTATCTTTTATTTTATGGAAAAACTAAATGGACTTTCTGGCCAACCTAACACATTAGCTAGTTTGTAGGGAAGACTGAAACACCTGTTTACTGGAGAAAAATAAAAGCCTGGAGCTACAGTATACAAGGTCTCCCATTCTATTCGGTTTTTATGCTGCCTGCAAAAGTTCTTTTTGTTTCCTTCCAATCAGATAAAGCTTTAAAAAATCCAATTCATTTGAGAGGATTTAGGGTAAGTCAGATAAATAAACAGATTTGATTGACCAAAAGTAGTCCTTCAGGATTAAAACAGAAACGAACACTGAATAGTACCAGGTAGAAGCATATGCTGTTTGCATTTTATAAATTGGAAACAAATCTCAAGGGTTGTCCAGGCCAGACTATGAATGCAAATTAATTTACAGAGCTGAAGACAACAATAATAACAAAAATACATTTGAGAAAGTGTAGATATATGCTGCCTGCCAAGAAACTCAATTCCTACAGTTTTCCTTCTGGTTCTGATTGGGGAGTTTCACTTTTGGTGACAGCAATGAAAATAGGAACTTCTAAGGCTATTTTTCAGTGGTTGCCGTAAGTTTTATGTTTCCAGTGCTACATTGTCTTTTATGATAAAAAAAACTACACTCTCAAGGTCATAATATAATCATTTCATAATATAATATTTGATTGAGAGTCAGATGACATGGATTTTAACATAGGGTATGAATCAACTTAACTAACCTCAAGCAACTCATTTAATTTCAATGGCCTCATTTTCCCTCAACATAAAATTAGAGAAATGAGGACTTCCAGCCAAGATGGAGGCATCGATAGACACACTGCGCCTCCTCGCACAACAAAAATAGGACAACAACAAGTTAAAGACAAAATAAAAACCAAAACAGACAGAAAATTGAACCGTATGGAAGTCTGACAACCTAGGAATTAAAATAGACACATTCATCTAGACCAGTAGGAGGGGTGGAGTCAGGTGACTGGGTGGAGAGGGGTTGCGGCACAAAATGTGGTAGCTCTGGGCGCGCCAAGATGGAAGCAGGCGGCGTACCCTGGGTGCGCACAGGCAGCGGCTGGCAGACCTGGGGCAGGGGTGGCAACGGGCAGACCCAGCGAGGTGGTGATTATGAAGCAAGGCACGGTGTGTAAGGTGGCTGGCTTACCGGGCAGTCCCACATTTGCGCGCCGATAAACCAGGCAAGGCTGGGGAGCGAGACAGATCACGCAACCCAGGGTCCCAGTGCTGGGAAATAAAGCCTCAAAACACCGATTGGGGGATACCTGTGGAAGTTGAGGTGCAGGGAGAGACTCCCAGCTTCACGGGAGAGTTCGTTGGAGAGACCCACTGGGTCCTAGAATGTACATAAACCCACCCACATGGGAATCGGCACCAGAAAGGCCCAGTTTGCTTGAGGGGAGCGGTGGAGGAGTCTGAAATCCGACAGAGAGCCGAGCAAGGGCCATTGTTCCTTCTCAGACCCCTACCCCACATACAACATCACAACCCAGCCACTGAGTTGCCCCACCATGGTGAACACCTAAGGCTCCGCCCCTCATATATAAGAGGCTTGACAAGACAAAAAAAAAAAAAGGCCCAAACAGAAGAACAGATCAAAGCCCCAGAGCAAATACAATTGAGTGACAAAGAGATAGCCAACCTATCAGATGCACAGTTCAAAGCACTGGTGATCAGGATGCTCACAGAATTGGTTGAATTTGGCCACAGATTAGATGAAAAAATGAAGGCTACACTAAGTGAAATGAAGGAAAATGTACAGGGAACCAATAGTGATGGGAAGGAAACTGGGACTCAAATCAATGGAGTGGACCAGAAGGAAGAAAGAAACATCTAGTCAGAAAGGAATGAAGAAACAAGAATTCAAAAAAATGAGGAGAGGCTTAGGAACCTCCAGGACATCTTTAAACGTTCCAATATTTGAATTGTAGGGGTTCCAGAAGGGGAAGAGGAAGAGCAACAAGTGGAAAAGTTATTTGAACAAATAATAAAGAACTTCCCCAATCTGGCAAAGGAAATAGACTTTCAGGAAATCCAGGAAGCCCAGAGAGTCCCAAAGAGGTTGGACCCAAGGAGGAACACACCAAGGCACATCATAATTAAATTACACAAAATTAAAATGGAGAGAATCCTAGAAGCAGCAAGAGATAAGGAGACAGTTACCTACAAAGGAGTTTCCATCAGACTGTCAGCTGATTTCTCAAAAGAGACCTTACAGGCAATAAGAGGCTGGAAAGAAGTATTTCAAGTCATGAAAGGCAAGGACCTACATCCAAGATGGCTCTGTCCAGCAAAGCTTTCGTTTAGAATGGAAGGGCAGATAAAGCGCTTATCAGATAAGGTCAAATTAAAGGAGTTCATCATCACCAAGCCCTTATTATATGAAATGTTAAAGAGACTTATCTAAGAAAAAGAAGATAAAAAACATGTATAATAAAATGACAGCAAACTCACAATTATTAACAACCACACCTAAAACAAAAACAAAAGCAAGCTAAGCAAATACCTAGAACAGAAATACCTAGAACCACAGAAATGGAGGTCACATGGAGGGTTAGCAACAGGGGAGTGGGAGAAGGAGAGAGGGGGAAAAGGTACAGAGAGTAAGTAGCATAGATGGTAGGTAGAAAATAGACAGGGTGAGGGCATGAATAGTATGGGAAATGTAGAAGCTAAAGAACTTATGACACATGGACATGAATTAAAGGGGGGAATGTGGGTGGAAGAGGGTGTGCAGAGTGGAGGGGAATGAAGGGGGAGAAATGGGACAACTGTAATAGCATAATCAATAAAATATATATTAAAAAATAGAGAAATGAAATGTGACAATAGTTTTTAAGCAGAGCTCATTTTGTCCAGGTAATATTTTCAAGATAGGTTTCTGTGGAGGGGAGTCTGTGAAGGTCCTAATTCTACACCTGAAACATCGTGAACATGTGTTTGTATTTCTGTAAAGAGTGTCTGTCTATAGCTTTTATTCTATCTGCTCTCAAAGGACAATTCATTCAAATCAACAATTTCAACTGAATAAACCCCTTATCTCCACTCTCTGGTTGCACTATCTCTCCTGATCCTATAAACTTTACCTATTCAAGAGACATTTCAACAGGGAGGTAGCTCGAATACCAAACGCCAAACTTCATTCACTTTACTTCCCCAGCTGATGATACCCTCATAGGGAAATCTACGGTTTCTTCCATATTCCCAGCTGATGATACTATCTACTATCCTTTCTCTTAATTAGTCATAAACACAGATTTTACCTCCTAAACACCACTTGTAAACGTTTTAAATACATTGAAATGTGACTATTAGAAAAACTGAAAATACAAATAATCAAAAGGAACAAAATATTAAGAATATCTAAATGCTAACATAAAGACATGACTACAATATGCTACTGTATATACCTTTCAATCTTTTCACATGTAATATGAATATGCATGTATGCATACACAAATATAAATATTTAAAATAAAAGAGGATCAGATTATACATTGTACTAGATATTCTACTTAGTTTCAATTAACTATATATAATAACTATCTTTCCATTTAGGCAAATATGTAAGTATGTTTAATGTTCAATAGTTGAATTTGCTTCAGTGTATAAATATAGCACTAGTTACATAACCAATTCCATACAATTAGACATTTCTGTTCATTCCAAATTTTTACTCCTAGGAATAATGACAGAATTAACAATCTGGTAACTAGACCTTTGCTTTCTTTTGCACTTCTTTCTGCCCGTATGACAGGATAATATAAGAATAGTTATGATCTTTTAAAATTCACTGTGAAATAACACCCAGAAATTTTATATCAATTTAAAGTCCAGAAGAGTACCCACAGAAGAACTGAGGCCTTCAGGAAAGGACAGGGAAGGCTGTTTTTAGTTATTTTATTAATATCTAACCATATATATATTTTAGATTATTTTATTTATTTATTTATTTATTTATTTATTTATTTATTTATTTATTTATTTATTTATTTATTATTTTAGAGAGGGAAGGGAGGGAGATAGAGAGAGAAACATCAATATGCAGTTGCTGGGGGTCATGGTCTGCAACCCAGGCATGTACTCTGACTGGGAATCAAACCTGCGACACTTTGGTTTGCAGCCCATGCTCAATCCACTGAGCTATGCCAGCCAGGCTAACCATATTTTTATTGTGGTAGAAAAACACACAAAATTTGTTATCTTAACATTTTTAAGTGTATAATATAGGAGTGTTAACTACATGTCCTTATTGTGCAACAGATCTCTAAATTTTTTTCATTTTGCAAAAATGAAACTTTATACGCATTATAGGGGATATTGTTTTTGTTTGTACATGGATAACTAGGAGGAGGAACTTATTGGTACTCTCAAAGAATTGAATTTCACTTCTTACTATAAACTCAAACTCACTATTTTCTTACTAGTTAGCTTTCACCAAGAAAAATGATAATCTAAAACCAAACTTAGAGAAATAAAGTCACAGGACATTATTCCAGCTTTTCAAGTCTGGCTTTATACTATACTTCATTTTGCTGCTCTCAAGAGTGAAAATATACTGAGAGAATATATTGTAAATATTCCCTTGTAAAAGGAATCTGAATATTTTAATTTTATAATGGAAAAAGCTAAGGATGAACATTAAAGACATTCTTACCTTACAAATAAATTACATTCAAGATGGTAGAGTTAGTAGCCTTAAAATCAGATTTTTTTTAAAATACAGAAGCACAAGTACATACAATAGTTAGGTTATCAGGTAAACCCATTGAAACCCATTTTTGCCCATAATGTAGATGAAAAACTATCCATTCACATACAAAAAATTAGGAAATAATACCACTGTAATGCTATCAATTAAAAAAAAACAATTATACTGCACCAAAATATTATCCTGAATGCACGAAGAAAAGAAGATATAATTAGAGAAGACTGAAGTGGTAAAAGATATATGTATATCCAGAAAGAAACTTTTTAGTATGTGCAGGCTCCTTGAGTATGATAATATTGATCCTTACATGTAATTTCACTATTTTTAATTAAAATTTCTTCATTAGAAGACCATCACCCTTATATGTGTCAGTCTCACTGAAGTTAATCTTGTAGGGACGGGGCAACTTCCAAATGAACAGGGGATAGGTGAAGAGGGTGATAAAGGTGGAACACTAGGTGGTAGACAGAAAACTAGAGGATCAGAAAACCAGGCAAAAGTGGGAACAGAAAAGGAAAAGAATGGCGTTAAAGATGGAATATGCTACTCTGAGAAAGATTACTCATTAAAATGAAAAGTGACGTTAGAAGTAAAACATAGGGGGAAAGAAAGGGTACAGCACTGTCTCCATGGTCTTCTGAGGAAAGGAAGGAGGATTTGGAGGGTAGATGCTTAATCACGTTGTGTGGACCCAGGAAAACTTGGTAGCTGAGAACACAAGAAGGGAAAAAGTAGCCTCAATATTGGTGGGTGGAGAGTGAGTAGTAGAGTAGACATATAATCGACCATTTATATGCAAAGATGTTATGAAGGTTGGTGTTTATAACCTGGAAAAATTCCTTTCTGTAAATACTTCTTAGAGTTGCAGACATACAAATACACAAATAAAAATCTGTTGACAGAAAATATGTTAACAGAAAATTTAAAATCTCAGCTATTATTAAGAATCATTAATTTATTTCCTGTGACTGAACTTAATCAAACCCGTGACCCTTAGGGTTTGCAAGCTGGCACTCAATTCACTGAGCCACACCATTTCATTTTTTTTTGATGGGCTCTTTTGAAGCACAAAAGTTTTTAACTTTTATGCTCAGTTTATGTATTTTTTCTTTTATTATTATTTCTATTTTTAGTGAGCAATGGCACTGTTTTATATGGTAACAATTAGCTTTATTGCTTTAATATATAAAATGAACTATTAGTTGAAATTCCAAATAATATTCCTAAATTAGCTCTTTTTAAGTGTACTTTAAAGTACAAGTTGAGTAGTCTGATCAGAACTTTCAAATATATTTTCTCCATTTGGATGATCAAAATAGCCAAATATATTGCACCTAACTCTTTTCAAATGAACAAATATCAGGCACCTATAGGAAACTCAGAAATAGAGTTATTCTTTGTTCTATCTAGATGGGGCACTATTACAAACAAATACTTCTTGTGTGTTACAATGTGAAGAACTTACTAAATATGTAAACAATAATTTAAGACAGGTGTTATAAAGTACAGAAAGTAAAGGCCAGAGTAGTTAAGTAACTTGTCAAGATCCCCCAGCTAGAAGATGGAACAATTTAACCTCCTGCTTATCTAACTTCAATGACTGTGCGTGTCCTTAGTCCATTAACTATTCAGCCAACCCTGGTAACATGTGTTTTCTTCTAGTACAATAAACCTTAGCAGATTTCAATCACAAAACAGAGCAGCAGTAAAGTCACAGCTGAGTGAAACTCTCCTCTTTCAGGACACTGTGAATAGAGATGTTGCCTGTGTATTGATGAAACTTTGCAAAAAAAATATGATGATCCTAACTAAGATGAAAAAATTAAGCGTCTTCCCTTAAAAGACATGTTTTGCAAGGAAACAGAGTACCTGGACATTGGCAAAGTCAACACGGTTGAGGTCGTTGAGCATCTGGTTGATCTGAGAAGTGTTCTGGAGCACTGCACGAGCTGCCTGGGCCAGGTGATTGAGCGACGTGTATCTTCGCAGAGTCTGGGCAAAGGCACTTACAGCGGCAACCTGTAAAGAAATCCAATTAAATTGGGATTTTTTTCCTTCAGTAAAAGAAACCACTGCAAATGTTTAAACCTTTGTTCCCTTGCCAAATTTTAAATGCTTCCCTCTGAAACTTATTGCAAATTCATTTGGTGAGAGAGCTAACTTGTAAATTATGTCATTTAACTTTCTAAACAAAGTATTATTTTCCTTTTAAGTGGGTTGAGGTCAAGACTAAAACAGACTCCCACATTCTTCAACATCTGAGTGCAACATTAATTAAACCAGTTTTACAAGTAACTACTCATCCACAGTAAGAAATGACTTTCTCTAGGGAAGCAGGAAAAATGTTGATTTTCCTTTTTTTTCTACTCTCTATAGAATAGTCAATTACAAACTTAGCAAATAATATTTTTTCTTTTTACTTGGAAAACCAAACTATAGAGCCTTACTTTTTTAAATGGATAAAAGTATATACTTTCCAAAGTGCTGTCATTCAGATTCATTTACTACCTTTATGTTATAGAAATCTGGGTAATTCTGAGGTGAAAAAAGTGTCAACAGCCTTTTTAACAACATATATATAGCTGGTAAACTTATTAGATACAAGCAACAAGAACTCTTTCAGAATGTAAATTTCTATAAAAGGGCTAGTCAGAATACCTTCATTTGCCCTTAGCCCTTCAAAATCTACTTTCCACCCTTCTCTATTCTGCTCTGTGCCAGAAAGATCAGCCTGAAAGTAAAATACTACAGTACCTCCCTCCTTACACTCTAACTTCCAGGTGGCTTCCAATGACAGGCACCGGAAAAACACTGAAGGATGGAAATAAAGAGTGGTCAAGTACTTACCTCCCCACAATTACTATTTTCTCCCTGTTTTTGCAGAGTCTCCTTTCTATTTCTAAGATCACATCCTATAGCAAGAAGAGGCTCCCTTAATGCCACAACTTTCACCTCCTTCCCCTTCAGACCTAGGGATATTCAGGACTTGTTACTATGGCCAGTCCTGAGGTATTTTAGCATTCCTTTTCTTAACTCTGTTTACACCTTTGGAAATAAAACCTTCTTAAATCCTCTTCAATTATTTTAGCCTTTGGATATACCATGTGTTTCCTGCTGCAACCCTGAATGAACTGGGTTACAATGAAAGGTATCAAAGATAGTGCCAAAAAATAAAAGTCTAGGTAAACATCTAAGTCTCATGATCTTATGGAAACTTGTTACATGCACTGCAGATCTAATGAGCATTTAAATACATTTATAGGCATGCATGGCATGGCATTAAATCACTATTGGTACAGAAGAAGCAACTGATTGAATAGTCAGATGGTGAGTGGCTGAATGCATTGACAGGTCAAAGGATGCTCTACTGTCATAGTGAAATATTTTAGGACAATGTGGATCTTGGGGGAACTTCGCTCACCTTCCAAACAGAGTCTTACACTTTTCCTCACTTCTGTGGTTTATATTAATCAAGTACAAACTACGTGTTGGGCACTGTGTTAAGTGCCTCATATACTATTTGTTCAATTCTCATCACCATCCTACTAGACACATATTATGACTTAAAGAGGTAAGTAGCTTGCTCAAGGTTCCACAGAGACTATATTACAGTGAGAGGATATGGACCCGGGTATTATGATAACAATGGCCAGTCACAATCTCATTATTCTATTTCTTCTGTCAGAGTAGACTATCTTCATTAATTGAGTATTTGGCTGAAAAAAATGCTGCACACCAGTGAGAGAGGAATAGCAGAAGGTACCTTCCACCAAGGTGAATCAAATACAATCTAGAAATCAATGAGATGGCCAATATGGTGGCTGGATTACTACCATATCCACTTTGATGACATGGGAAGGGAGTTGCTTTCAACTGTTTGATGTTCTATTATAAATATGACTGATTCTGCCAAGTTAGAAATCATTCCATCATACTCAAATAGCGCCTCCTTTATTTGCCTGCCTCAATATGGCACTCCAGAACAGCACTGCCATGGAGAACTTTCTATAATGATGGGCATGCAGTACATAGGTGTTGCCAAATATGGTACCCACTATCCATATGGTGCTATGGAGCACTTGAAATGTAGTCAGTGTGACAGAGGAACTAAATTTTAAATTAACTTAAATTTAAAATTCAAATGTAAATAGCCACATGTGGCTATCCCTACTGTATTAACAGCATAGTTCTAAAGCAAAAATATAAGCTGGAATATCAATGAAATGTCTTTTCTGTATGTTTAGAAATACACAGTGTTACTATAAAACTTTACTCCAAGCAGAAAAACTGGGAGCTACTTGTCTTTGCAAACAGACTTGTTAGCTACAAGAGCATCACTCTATCAACTAGACCCCCAAATTCAAAGATAATGGATATTGTTGGAGTCTGATGGTAGATATAGTCATTGACAAAAACCCATAAATGTAATTTTTGGTATGAAAGTTTAGGCAAAATGAGTTCAACCCTGCCGTGGGGAATGTTTACAGATTAATCTAAAGTGACATGGTCTGTAGTGGGTGACTGGAGACTGGAATTCATATTTCTGGTTAAACAGTTTACATTCCTGATGTACACTGATTAATTATGAGATAATTGTTCACTTTAAAAAATGATTACTTGATTCACAAAAGCATTCTCCAGTATTAAAAAAAATCCTGAAAGGAAAGGACTATTAACTTCTATGGACTTTTCACAGCATGATGAGCATTGCAGGGGACTTAAAAAAACCTAAAACTCATTAAACTGAGAATTATATGAACATCCAGGCTATTCTTTTTAATATCTGAAATTAAGCAATCTGAAATATATACTTTATATAAGGTATATAAATACACCACATTTAAAATGCTTCTGTAGTCTTTTGGAAAGGTGTATTATTAAATATCTCTTGTGCAAGTTCTTATTACATGGTTATAATATAAAAATATAAAAATCAGTTTTAAAATATATATATTATAATAGCAACATTTTAAATAATGTCATTTCACAGGACACATAAAATTCAAAGTCCAGAATAATTTCCTAAACACAAAATAAAAAGCAAAGCTGTAAAAGTGTACCTTGGTTTGTATCATTCTCTGTGGAATATTGTTCATGGCATTGGAAAGCCAACCTTCAAGGCTTTTTGCAAAATTTCGAATGGCTTGGGTCAAGGCACCTAAATGTTAAAGAATAAAAGTAGAACGAAAAAGATGCAAAAGAACATTAATCTTTATGCTAGAATAAGGGAAAACATGCATATATGACATTTGAAATAGCACAGAACTTATATTGTCCTCACTGATGAGACTTTATTTAACATTATTTCTAACCTTGAAAGCATTCAAGAATTCTATTTTGGGTTTAGTTTTTTTTTCTTTTAAAGCTATGTTGCTCCCAGAAACTTATTATACTTGGTTAGGAAATGGAAATATTCAAACATTTTTGCTTATAGCAACATATACCAGTTGTGAATATACTTATGGAATTTTCTATCTCAGACAAAACACTTTTCATTTACAGCTCTGTGCTCAAAGCCTATTTCCCTTGCAAGTTCTTCATCTTGACTTTTCAAGCTCTTAATCTATTTTCTTTTAGTTAAAAAGAGGAAAATGCAAAGCTTCCTCTCTTTCTCTAAGCCTCTGTTTACATCAGAACATATCAGTTAGAGTAGTTATTTCTCAATCTTACTGAAAAAAGTAAGGTAACAATTAAAACTGCCTAACTTGAAATTTTGAATAACTATTCTCTATTTCACTTGGCAGGTAGAGATAAAAGATGAGTGTGATAAAATTGCTGTCACAGAGACCAATATTCTTAAGATATTCCTAAAATAGTCCATTCCATATTCTTCACACATCTGTGTAAAAACCTGAAATAGGGATAGGTTCCATGGGAGTAGCTTTCTGTGGTGGCCATAAAACCATCAGCAGCACCCTCAATTATCAGGGGCGACTGACTATTTTATAAGAAGGGGTCTGTTTACTGAGACTGCTGTACAATAGAAGACAGAATTCTCTTGTTCAACAAGTAATTCAATCAATAGCATCTTACTTCATCTGTGCCCAAGTGTAGGAGCAGTTTCAGACACTTAATAAATATTTGAGGCATTCACAAAATAAATCTTTGTGGGTTCCCTATGATAAAGGTAGGTATTACAATTGGTATTCTACTACAAAAAACCAGAAGTTACATTTTTGTTCAAGGCTCCCAAGAATATTAATGTTAATGATGGGATTAAATTTCTTGGTTTTTCTTTCTGTGCTCAAATAAATCTGACATGCTTCTCTATTACTTTTGTTTAGCAGAGTCAGACAATTTAGTTTGCTTGAGTTACTTGCAAATGATACAAATATTACTAATCCAATAATAAAAACAACTTTTTTAAACAATGACTTATTTAACTGGTCAAATGATAAAAGAGAAATTGAAATGGCTAAATTTTGATTAGGAAAAACACTTGAGAAGTACAGGCTATTAACCATGAGAATCATCTACCGGAAACACTGAGTTGGAAATTTCTTGAGAACTAATCTTTTTAAATTTCCAAAACTTCCTACTTTAGCCAAAAAAGAAAAAAGAAAGAAAAAATATTTTTCTGCTGCATTATGTACTAGAATCATGGAGGGCAGGCATGAATGGAAATGAAAAAGAGTGAAAAAAAATTAACAACGCTTTTTGAAACTCAGAAAAATATTTTGCAAGATTCAATTTGACTGTCTGTATTTTGAATCTCCTATAATTAATATATAATAATTAACCTAAAAAAAACAAGAACTAGGAAAGGTTACCTAAAAAAAAATGAGTCTTGTGTTATCTAGACAAATTTGATGCTCGAGAGACCATAAAATATAGAGATATGTTTAAAATAAAGAGATATTTACAGATTTTAAAATTTTACTTTTTTGTACTAAATGAAATTTTGAGCCACCTTTAAGTCTTTAAGTATACCTCATAATTGTACATTTAAGTGTTAATAGTTGAGTTCTTATACAATTTTGCACTTAAACTTTTTTTTATTTTCAGATAAATATATTTTAGAATATAGTAGCTTCAAGCTGACTTTAAATTAGTGTGAGATGCAGACATTTTTTTGGCTAAAAAAAGGAATCCCATCTGGACAGTAAATGATAGAGTAAAGAACTAGTAGCCAGAAAATAACAATTTTTAAAATAAACTCATGTTTGCTCTCTCTATGGGTTCACATCAGATCAAACTGTGCACATTAACTTTGACAACCTTTCTCATGAATGGATGTTTGAAATGGAAAATCTATTGCAAAGCTAACTTGTTTCAACCTGCTCATGAGTAATATTAAAATGCATACAACAGAAAGCTATACAGAATGCATACAACATAAAACTGTATTTTATGCTTTATTTTGCTAAGTCTTTTTGTAGAATGGGAATTAAATTTCCAAATTTACTTGGCACATTAATGAGCCTTGTAATTTCAGAGAAACTATAAAACTATATTTATTTAAAAATTCCTGAAGATGAGCTGTCTGCTGAATGTAGAAACAAAGTATTTGACTGAATAAATTGGTTTTTAAATCACGATTTACAAAAAACAAATGTCAAATGTATTATGTATTTAAATTGTGGGGCTTCAAGTTAACGTAAAATTGATATATGATTTAAGTTAGAAAATTTGAATTTATAAGTTATAGTCTTGTGAGGCTAACATGGAAACTTAAGATTTTAGAGTTAGTTAATGAATATTGATGTTGTTGAATTGCCTCAATTAAGAAAGTGCTCACTGACATCTCTTCTTGTATCTTGTGAGACAAACTGGTGGGAAGATGTCATAGGCTAATGAGCTATCCTATGCAACTTCTCTGAAACATCTCTAGAGATTATAACTCAGAGCACAGGGAGCACGATGAAATCAGAAAAAATCTGATTCTGAAATATAAATCAGTCGAGAATTTATTTACACATCAAAGTTTTAATGACAATATCACTTTTAATCAATCCTTAGTCAGGAACATGGTTAGACAGAGTAGAAAACATTAGCAATTGAAAAAAATGTGAGACAATGGCAGCTGGACTTTTTAAAACAAATTTATGTGTGTTCATTGATATTATATGTAAATGTGCAGTTATGCATATATTTTAAAGAGGTGAGGAACATATGAAATAACATATCTTCCACATTATCTGTCATATTTAGAAAAAAGCATATAAACATAAAAATGTTAATTTCTTCACTATTTGTTCTATTAAATCCCTATTTAATAATGTCTGAAAAAAAATTTAATACAAATCACCTGTGAATGGTATACTTAAAGTACATGATCACCAATTTCACAAGCTAAAAGACTGCTTTTATTTTATTAGTGCCACGTTAGAGAGAAAATTCTGTCCCCAGTATTTAAAAGTTAAGGTCACTAGTATGTGCTCATAAAGATGTAAGCATGAAATAAATCATTCCAAGTGCTCTACACAAGTGTCCCGAGTAGCATTTACATTGACACGTGCAGAAAACAGCTTTGTCTGTTCTGTGTAAAGAGCAACCATAACTTCAAAAAGTAATCTAACTTATCTATGTAATTCCTATTTGCTTCATGATGGAAATGCAGTACTTGCATAGTTACCCAGATTTTTTCTCTCAAAATGCCAGTTAATCATTGCTGTTAATAAATGGAAACTGCATTTGTGCTCCTAACAGGATGTAGGTGACAAAGTGAATGCTTTTACAATACAGAGGAATTCAACTTCAGTAGAAACCAAGATAAATTCATTTTAAATAAAAAGCAACCATGAAAGAGGCTGGCCTAGCAATTACAGATTTCAAAAAAAAATTTGGCTTCATGAAGGAAACTGTATCCTTGTGTAGAGTAATTTTTACATAATTGACTGACTAGCTTGCCAGTGTTCTTGCTGTCACATCCAGAGGTTAGCTTTTATTTCAAAAAGAAAACTACTAAGGATTGAAAAACAGGTCATCGGTTCCCCTTTTACTACAATTCTGCTCTAGGCTGCTTTCAGGCAATACCCTGCATTGTACACTTTCTACGTGGCAAGCCTAAATGAGATCAGAATCACTCTAGATTGCAATGTCACTTCCCCAAACTTCCTAGGTGGAATGTATGAGAACAAAAGCATCCGTACTTGTCTGCATTTAACTTACTAGGAATAGGTCTAAGGACGTCGGGGATGAGAATCTCCACCAGAGCCTGGTACATCCCATGGTCACAGTTACACATCCATTTCAGGATAGACTCATGTTTGCACAGAGTTATCAGCTTTGCTTTCGGAAGTCGACTTTCTATTTCACTCAGATTGCTGGTGTGAATAAATGTAGCAAATGAATAGATGGCAAATGAGGATAAAAAAGAAAATGGACTTTAAAAATCGTTTTAGTTTATCAAATATTACTGAGGTTAGAACTATACCACCATTGCACTGGTGTCATACGGCTGGATATACATAACACTCCCCCAGAGCTGCCTATGCACGTTAATACTTTCTGACGGTATGAAAGGCAGATAGGATGCTAACTCCATGAGGATGAAATAGCTCTACTGAGGTGCCCCAATTCAATAAAATGGGAGCTATAACACACACACTGAAACCTCAAGAGAGCAGTTTGTGGTTTATTTCAATCTATTCATTTAATGTTATCAGGTAGGGTTCACAACTGGTATACATATCTCTAATTTATTAGCTGTGACATCTACTCAGCCATGAAAATGAACTGGAAAAGCACATTGATTCTGACCTTGATTCAGTAATGGTAGTGCCGTCAGCTGGAGTAGAGGGAGAATAGCGCCAGAATGTTTGCCACAGTTTTTCTATCAGGCTAAACTGAAGATTCACGACAACGTCCAATATTGCCTAAAAGACAGAATGGTTATTGGTATTACCTTACAATATTTCTTATGCGGAGGCATGAGGACCACATAATGTAATGGGACTTAGATGGTAAAGATATCTGTGGGTTCATAAGTTAACATGGTAAAACTGGACTAAATTGGCCAATGGAAGTAGGAAAACAGAAGAGATTAACTAGGAAGAAAAGGTAAAAGCAAGTCTTGAAAGCTTAAGCAGGATGACTTTTCTCTCTCTGTAACAGCCTCCTATCTCTCACCCTCACTTTCACCTCTTCCCCCCACCACCATTGTTGTGCTTGCTTCCTTTCCTCTCCCCTTTTTTCTCTTACTTTTCTTCCATGCTTTTACCCACTGCTTTCCTCTGCCTCCAGAATAGCCGCCACTCTTCTTATTCTCAGACCCCAGGGCACAGAACATGGACTGAATTCACATCAGTCCTCATTGGGCTAGGTGTGTCCACTGGACATCGGAGAGGCCAGAAGTGAAGGGTGTGGAGGTGCTCATGTGTGGCAGACAGATTTGGGACTAAATTAGCCCTGTCTAAGGCTGCCGACCATGTGTTTCAGAGAGGCTGGGTCAGAAACCATAGAGTCAGGCAGGCTGTCAGGTGATAGCGCCAGTCTGAGCAGAAAAAGAGCACGGCAAGTTCCTCTCGTTTGGTCACACAATACCTGCCACTCAATCCTACCTCTGCACATTCTCTTTAGAGAACAGTTTTAAGAATATCCCCCTTTGTAATCTTGGGTCCGGGACTTCACTTTCTCTTCTAGCTGCATCAAGGACTTATTTTTGAAGATGCTAAAGTTTGCCACTTTCAGTGATCATATACAGTTTCACCCTGCCCTTGCAATTAGTTTGTAAATTCACCTTTAGATAAAAGCAGTCATAAAACCAAAGAATAACTTGTTTGTGTAATGAACATGTGATTCTGTGATTATTTTGAGCATAAAAGACAGAAGTTGTCAGTATATGTTTGGTATCCTCAGCATTGAGAATGGGGACTGGCAAGACAGCCCTGTTGAAATCTACAAAAATCATAGGAGCTTAGAGACAATAGGAGACAATCGGGAGAGTCAGTATTAGGATTTTAGGCAAAAAGAGAAAAATACATCATAATTCTGGAGTCTGTGCTGCCTGAGTAGCTTGGCCGTATGCATAATGGCAGAGAATAACTGATGATGTACACAAAAAACTCTGAGAACAATTAAAATATTAAGCAAAATCTGTTTGAGACATATTCTGGGAACTAGTAGAAAAACTTGCAAGTAGTAATGAAAATGGAGGGAAGGGGAACATACTTTTCAATCTTTTATATCAGCAACAATAAAAATGCAAGGGCAAGTCCTAAAAGTGAAGGGCATATAGGTGCCCCTCCTCCCAAGCAAACACTAAAACCTTCTCAAGAGGCAAATTATTTTAGCTGCTTTCTCAAGTGTAGTTTAGGCACATTCCAAGAGACAGCTACTAATGAAGTAACTATTCATATCTTATCTAATAATCTTACATACTTCTATCTATGAGATTGCTGTAAGAACACTACATATATGGTATATGTTAAAAGAAAAAAATTAGTGTTGCAGCATCTTGTACAGAAAATTATACTTGTTCCTTACCTAACACTAGTGATAGTTACAAAGTATCTTTGATTAAAAAATTGTGAGAATTTCAAATAACAGGGAAAACAGATATATTAATGTTTCTTTAAAATATAAACCATAGATAGGAGCCCCAGATGGGTAGCTCAGCAGGTTAGAGTGTTGTCCCAATACGCCAAGGTTGTGAGTTCAATCTCCATTCAGGACACATACAAGAATCAACTAGTGAATGCATGAAAACAGCAAATGTCTCTTTCTCTCTCTCCCCCACTACCTTCACTAAAGCCAATAAGTAAATATTTAAAAAAACATAAATCACTGGAAACATAAAATAAAGTAATTCAGTGCATTTTAAGTTTAGTAACTCTTCAAATTAAATAATCTCTAATTCTTTCAAAGAGGACATTCTTCACAACAGCCTCTTGAAGCAGTTTTACACATGAATAAAACATTTATCACTTGTTCATTCACCCATTTTCAAGTGTAGTCATATTTAAAATATGAACATATATTTCAACAATCCACATTCTATGGTTTTAGAGCAAATGACTATTTACAGGACTGGATATGAAACTCATGTACCTGTACTTTATAAGGTTGGAAATTTCACAGAAAAAAATAGAATTCTTGTTTTTCATATTTGCTCCTATATGCCATGAGAGATGGCACAGATTTCAGTTAACTCTGAAGTAAATGGGGCTCATTCTACGAACTGCCATCCCACTAAGACTGATTATCTTACATGCCTGTCTCTTCATGTAGAGCAATCCTGAAAACTAGAATGTTAATGAAAATTTGTGATCCAAAGAATATCTTCATCTTCATGGGGGAGTTTTTCACTTAGAATAATCTTACTGTATATTCTTTAGTAATATAATCATGTTCCAACTTATATTTTAAATATGAGAAACTTGAAAAATATCCAAATTATATTTGCATAGACTGATTTGCTTAAAGCAAGGTTCAGAGAACACAGAGAAACAAGAAATTGCATAGATAATCTTTCTATAAACCTTTACTGAATACCTATATATATGATATCTATGTAGAAAGAAATATTTTCTAGATGTGTAGGTATAATCCAGAAATTCTCAAATATTTGGACAAGTACAGTCATCAGAGAGAAGCGGATATGAAGTGTCTGTCCTCATCCCAAACGCTGGGGACAGACAGGCAGGATGTGTTGAAGAACACTCTGGCACAGAGGTCGCTAACAAAGACAGAGCTCAGCCTCAGTTGTTAATAATCTAGCACCCTTGACAAGCACTCGGATTTACTCAAGCAGTTCTTATTTCTGGAGTGGGGAGAGGTCTGTGAATGATATGAGCTGAGATTTCTCATTATATACTGCGCTGTCAGCTGTCAGGAGGGCAGACTGTGAAACCTAAAGGATTATATTTTACTTCTAAGTAGATCACAAATAGCCCTGAAATAAACTACTTAAATTCTAAACGGGCTCCTTTTTCAAAAGGAAAGGCACTTATAAAACTCTTACTGCAATCCATCATCCCCTCGGCACCAAGTGAGTGGCAGGGGTCTTATCATGCTGGCTTGGAGAGTGTGCCCCTACTGGACCTGTAGCCTGTTCTGATGTGGGACACTCAGAAAGGGAGTAGGAGGTAGGGATGGAAAATACCAAGGTAAACCTTAATTGGCATAAAATAAACAAAATTGAAGCTTCACTGGTCCCTGGAAGGAACATCTAACATGCTTTATCAAACATTAGTAAAAATATTTTTGATAGAAATACACACTGATGCTGTAAAATTCAAAAGATACAAAGGGTGTATTAGAAAATTAGGGCTCTTTCTCCTGATTCTCAGTCACCAGTGTCCTTTACAAAGGCAACCACCATTAATATTTTCATGTTTTTTTCCTCTGGAGAAAGCTATGTACATGTTCTTTTTCATTCCAGTGATAATATGCTATACACACTGTTCTGCATTTTGTGTTTTTCCTTTAAAAATAAATCCTAAGTCTGTTCCATATTAGTACATTTAGAGTTGTCTATTCTTTAATGGCTGCATAATATTCCACTTTATAGACTGCACCATGTTTTATTTATTCAGTTCCCTACTAGATATTGAAGTTACAACCAATCCTTTGCATTAAAAACAATAATGCAACAAGTTCCCTTGTATACCTATCTCTTTACCTATATATAAACATTTTTTAGGAAAAATCTTAGAACTAGAATTTCTGCATCAGAGGATTCATGTAGGATAGGCTAAGAAAATGGACAGTAAAATTTATTTTCTGTATTCCTCACTTCTCCACTCTGAGACAAGAAGAAAAATTAGCTTATTAGTGCTCAAAGAAATATGCACTAACTTCATAGGTCCCTGAAGAATAAATACATTTTATTTTATTAGCAAGTTGTCTAGCAAAACTTAGCACGTGATTGTACTATGTTTGAAAAGACTTACCTCACAGTGCTCTCGATAAAGACTCTGTAGTGACTTGATATCCTCAAAGGTAGTACCATCTGGCAGAGAAGAGATTTCAACTTCTCCAAACTCTGGAAGTGCTCGAGATGCATCTGTTACCATGACAACACAAGAGGAAAAAAGCTTTGTGGTGCTGCCAATTACAGATTAATGAAGGAAAATTTAAGAAGACTAAAAAGAAAAAACAATGAAAGGCTGGCAGTCCAAAGAGCAAGGATTTTTGATACTAGGCTTTGCAAACAGAACTTGTCAACATCATCAGCACAAAAGAATAGAGGAAACACAGAAATTTGGAGAAACTGTATTTTCACTATGACTATACTAGAAATAACATATCGCAGTGTCTCTTAATATATGGCCCCTAAGGGGGAATAAATGGTGATAGAAGGAGGCTTGAGTTTGGGTGATGAACATATAATACAATATACAGGTGATATACATAGAATTGTACACCTGAAACCTATGTAATTTCATTAACCAATGTCACCCCAATGCATTCAATGAAATAAATACATATAAAATAAAAATAAAAATATACCTTGAGCAGCCAGTATCAATTTTGGTTACTTTTACTATTATGCTATATAAGTATGTAAAAAAAATAGATCTAGCTTTAAACTCACTATGCTCAAACCTCTTACATAATTATAAACCACAAAGCTACAAAATAAATACAAAGAAAACTACAAAGATAACATTAAACTTAAGAACATTAATTTGATATGATGGATGATGCTGTTGTCCTACACACAAATTACCTCTTGCAACATGAATACGGTACTGACTGCTGTGGCACGGGATCTTTTGAGTTTGACAGGCCTGTACCAACATGTACTTCATGGTGGCTGGTTCTCCCATTACTTTTCTACATTCAAATAAGCTGTGAAGCTTTCCTCCACACACAGCACTGGGACATCATTTAGCCTTCCCTTGGGATGAAGGCGTAATTTACATAGTAAGTTTCTCTGTGTTCTTTTCTCATTAGATATGGACAATTAATGCAACACACTTTGGTGCCTGCCCTAACATAAATTCAAATACAAATGCGGAAAATAAAGTTGCAGAACAATGTTCCTTCTAGCCTTCTACGTAATCCAGAATACGCTTTTATTTTTTAAGATTATAACTGAAATAAAAGTATGTAATAAAAAATATTCATCTTGAGAGCTCAAAGGTCCACAAAAATATACCTGAGGACTTTAGTTTGGGAAATGTTGCCATAATATTTTCAACTTCTCTGACTGAGAATCCACTTTACTTGTCTTTCTCATGAAGTGCACAAAGACACACACACACAGTCTCTCTCCCTCTCTCTCTCTCTCTCTCTCTGACAGCTTCCACTTGTTTGATTTGTTGTACAGAAACTATGCATGTTCATCTCCAGCAGAGTTACCAATTAAAGTGCCATTTTTGCACCTTTGGCTATGACAGGAATATGCAAAATGTTCAAGTTCCACTTCCTAACTCTTTAAAACAAAATCTATAATTTTTTTACAAGTAGAAAGTGCAGTGATCAAATTAAAAGAATAAATTATTTTAAAAGTTTATAATAATTTTTTTCTAATCTGAGGCTGTATGCATACATAACTTTATACATAGAAAATAATTATTTTTGGCACTTAAGTTACTACTGAGAGTAAATACAATATAATTTTGATCACAAAAGCCCAGCTAATAAAAATTCTGGAAAACAATTTCACAGCAATGAGCCTTTAATTTGTATCCACTTAAAAGTCCTACATAGTTCAAGAGTTAAAAATAAACTACAGTGAACATGAGAAAATATAAATGAACTAGAAATATATGATGTGAATAGTTTCAGCACAAAAATGTCTTTTTATGTAATTAACATCTATAATAGAAATCGCACTTGGATAAAACACTACTATTGTTCTTTTGTTTCACAATCCTAAAAGCAACTAATATGCATTACACCTTAACGTACCTAAAAACTGCTGATGATGTTGACTTTGGGCAATTACAGTTTGCTCAACAGATGTGCCTGTCTGTTGACCACTTCCTGTGAAACCATCTGCAACCCCATCCACTTTCTGCATAGGCTTGTACCTAAAAATATTAGATGGGAAAAAACACAAATAAATCAAATTATTCCTTGCTTTTTTTGTACTGCACAAAACTCCCTAGGCATTCGATTTTATTCTATCTCCTTTAATGTCCCATGATAGTTAAGAGATGTTTTTCCTCTACAGTATCATAGAGCTAAAAGGAAGAAATTTTCTTAACTGTGAAAAGAAAAAGGGGGAGAGGCTAGGAAGAAGACCCATTTTTGAAATTCAGAAATTTACCTAAGAATGAAAGAGTCAGGAAGTATTTCCTTAGACACCAGCAGCAAAAATGTTCATGATTATAGTTTTAATACATGGTTTGGACATAACTTTTAATGGCCAATGGATCAAGGGAAGAACACTTTAAATACATTGGAATTTTAATCTGAGTTATAATGTAGGAGCTAGGGCCTGAGAAATTTTGATGAATGGCTTTCAATTAACTAATATTTCTAAAATATGAATCAGCCTACAAACTCTACCTACCATATTGCCTTCATATCTCCTAAAACCTCCCATGCATCTCAACACATTCATCTGCCTTGACTCCTCTCCGTATCTGCAAACAGAAAGCCCCTAAGCATCAGCTTGCAGCATCTATAAATCGAGTTTACCAAATTAAAAAATAAAGTCACCTATAGTTACGTATTTATCTTTAGGTCCTAGTCATCCCAAGTCATGGACTTTCCATACTGCTAAGAAAGAGAAAATATATTTAGCAGCAGGGACAATAAGGAAAGCCTGCTTGGGAAAGAACTATAATATACAAAAACAGACAGACATACAAACAAACAAAAAACTGGGTAACCCTCCTAGGATAAACAACTACAAAGTAAGAAATAAGCAGTAACTATAATTTTTCTCTTTCTCAGATTTTTCTTTTTTTAAGATTTTCTTCATTTTATAAATTTAGAAAAACTATGAAAAAATTAAAATCAACAATGTCCTAGAGATACCATCATTCACTTTCTGATGTTTATTCTTCTATTCTTTTTTACCCTATTTCTAATTATATCTGTAAATAAAACCGCCCTCACATTCTTACCACCCAGACACTTGCCATTAATATCATAAGGCAATCGGATCATTAATATGAATTACTGTGAATAACCATGTCCCTAATACATGAACAGGATATACTTAAAAATGCCTGCACTCTTGTAACAGGTATAGAATGAATGGACCTGGTGAAACGCTGTACAAGCTAATGCTCTGGTTGCCTTAAGGAATGATTCAGTATTAAATGTTATTTATTACAACTTAGGTAAATGAAACTTCAAAGAAAAATTGCAAAGTCACTTCTAATGACATTTACATTTATTTCCTATATGCCAGTATCTCATGAAAAACTATGAAAAGCAAAAAAAAGTCAGAAGATGAACAGGGTGAAAAAAGGGTACAGCATACATCATTCTTGTTATCATTTTAGTGATGACCCCCATCACGAGATGGTGGTTGCTACTTTCTAAGAACACACAAGAACTCAAATGTTTTCTTTTCCTTGATGTAAAAACCACCTAAAGTACCTTTCAACTGGGTCATACCAAGAGATGGCAGAAGGGTTAGTGTTGTGATGTTCTAGAAGTACTCTTTATGAAAAATTGAATTTTTATCATTTTTTCCCTTAAAAAATTATCTTACCAAGGCAAAAAAATTTTGTGAGGCACACACTTTGAATTCTTGTGTGGGGAAATTACTAACCATTCTGTCACAGAAAATTTGAATTATTTTATATTTATTTAGGAAAGTTTCTTCTCCTCACTGATTCATTCTAGGTTTCATTTGATTTTAGACTCCCTTTTTCAGCTATGAAATTTTACATCACTGATAAAATAAGCTAAAATTGTTTAACCATGTTTTTTCATTTAAGTTAATGAGGTATGGTATTCATAGAGTTAATAAACAAAGGTGGTAAAAGGAATTTGAATTATTTACCCTGGAGAAGAGAAAATGGAAATATTTCATATAGAATTCAATTATATTAATTTTTTAATATAGGATTAGAGAGTAATAACGAGACTTTGCCAAGCTTTGCTTTATAAAATTTCCTTTGTCCTTCATAGCATCTAGTATACTATGGATGCTTAATGGGCACAGCAAATATCAAGGACAAGTGGCATTTCACCTAAAAGCAAATGACCTTTTTCTCTCAGGCTGTACGTTTTCGGAGGATGGATGCTATGTTACAACCTATCACACACAGTGCTTAGCAAACCTGTAGCCTGTAAGCAAAATCATCTGCTTCCTTAGATTTAGACAGTGGACATTCTTAAGGGAAAGAGATCTTCTATGTAATAAGCACTCAAAAGCATAATACATTATAATTAATGTATGATTTAATAATAATTATATTGAGTGGGGAGCACTGATTATAGGTACACTGTATTATTACACAGGAGACAGAAAATGTATCAATATTAGTTTGCAGGAAAAAAAAGAAAATTACTTGGTAAACTCTGGAGAAATGGTGCAGGTCAGTACTTAAACACAAATATTGTATAAAAGATGTCATGAAAATACAACTGAGAACTGGAAGTTTTTATTCTAACCATAAAATTAAGGGTAGAAAGCTAAATAGTGGATTAAATGGATTAGGCAAAGATGAACTCGGTGCATCCATTCTTGGTTGCTGTGTCAACAGGACCGTTATAAGCCAGAACTTTATGTTGTACCTCCTCAGAGAAAGGTATGGGGTCAAGTTTGGGAGGGGTCTGTGCCATTAAGGATTACATCATTAAGGGCAGGAATATGGCTCATGTACAAGAACAGTATTAATGAAAGCTAAATATGAGAGAGCTTCTGGGTAGTGCTGACTTTTGCTTTTTCCTGCTGTTTTAAATACTAAACCACGTGACAGCACAGTTATTGTCTGGCACTGCACTGGTACTTGGAAGGAATCCCCTGAAATCACAAAGATTGGACTAAGGAAAACTAGATGTTCATTTACCTGATGCTCTAGGAAAAACATCCTATCCCTGCCATCACCTCAGAGGGTTAGGTCTTCTGGGAGAAGAATGTAGTTTAACAGGAAGTCAAGAATAGGAACATTACAAATAGGCTCAACAAATATCTGTGATAACTGATTCTGCTTGGGAGAAACAATTATAAATATTATACTGGATTAGGTTTAAAAACTAGTTGCATCTCAGTATCTGGGTAGCTCTCAAAAAATTTCAAAAGGTAGACTCACCCTAGATATACTTAACAAAATCTTTGAGAATGGGGCTTAGAAATTGATTATTTAATAAGTTCTAAGATATTACTTAAGGAGCCTGCACAACACTTGTCCACAAGAGCCTCTTGGACTAATAAAAATTCCTTCAGCCCACTGTTGTAAGACATCCCTAACATTAGAGACAAGTCATTTCTAATAAAATGTCCCCAATTTTCTTTTTCTCAATGAACTACATTTGGAATGTAAGTCTATATCTCAGAATGTATAATGAATGAATGCTCAGAGTAACATATTTCATTTTATCATACTATTAATTGATCTTAACATGTATCGAACCAATGTAACAACATTGATTGAGCACTTACTATAGGCAAAGCAGTTAGGGACATGGATTTGAAAAGGCTATGTAGGAATAAAATTTTTCCAGCATGATTTTTAATATTCTACTGACTTACATGATAATCTTACATTCTCTTAACTCTAGCTGAATTGCAACTGGCATCTCAGAATTTTCAGATTTCCTGCCTCTCTACCTTCTTCATAAAATAATTACCATTTAAATACCAAATTGTAAAAACTAGAGGTACTTTCAACTGAAAAAATTTTATTGAATCCTTAAAAAAAGGGAACTCTTTAGTAATTCTTTAAACAACTCAACTTGTTCTCTTTCCCCCCATTTACTTTACAAATGCATTATTTTTAAATTAGGCCTTCTTACAGCAGATCCTTGGTGCTCCTGAGTTGTGTATGCTCAGAGAAAGACCTGTGCTGCATCTAATGAAGAAATAGCTCTTGGTTTCAAAATTAGTAAGAGGCAAATAATAATTTTAACAGCTTGCAACTCCATGGGCAATCAGAACTAAAGTTGTTAATGATTAAGAAATCAAAGAAACGCTAATGCTTTAATAGCTGAGTGTATGCGTGAAACCTGTCACTACTGCAGAAAACTTGGAAAATTATTAGGAATCTTCCCCCAAGGGTTAGTCACAGCTGATATTTAGAACTTGGACAGCTGTAACTGTACTATAAAATGGTATCTAATTCTGTCAATCTCACGTGTAAGGACCCTGAAGGAGTCCGATGGAAGCCAAAGAATGGTATACATTTCCCATCACATTCAACTAACAGTACCAGGTGGAAGGATTTTCAACAGACTAAATGAAACATTCAAAAAAGTTCCTTGGCAGTAAGTAAAAAATGTACATGCAAAATCTGAATTGTACAGTCAAAGAGTCATTATTAGGTATATAATTCTAGAAAGTATACCATCATTTAATGTGTAGAACAAATCTCTATGTTGAGCTCATTATCAGGGAAAGGCTAAAATTCTCTTGGAATCTTGAGATTCTCTTTGGAAAAAGTGGACCAAAAAATCTTTCTATGACTTGAGGTCTGAAGTGAACCAAATGATATATAAACATGAACCGATTAGAGAAAACAGTGAATGTTAAAAGTACCATTTTTTCAGAATAGTAACTGACTCCCTGATGTCACACTGAATGTCTGTTTCTAAATGACTTCTAACATCAACCCTGCTGGTTAATGATAGTTATTCCATCTCCTCATTTCTTATTGGTAGCCCTTAGAGTTTGTCTCTTCATTAGTTCTACATCTATAATTGGGCAAGGGAAGGGAAAAAAATTAAATTCAAATGGGGTGGTTATATTAACTGCAGCTACAGTAGAAAATTTAGGAGAGGTAGGGAAAAGACAAGGTTGAAGCTACTGGCTAAATTAAAGCCATAGGTCATTCATTCATTTAACACTGGCAATGTACTCAGTGCTCTTCTAGGTGCTGAGTGTGCAATGTTGGAAGAGGTAGACAGG